AATTCATATATGAGTGAATGAAAACTGGAACTATGTATAATTTGTCTCCTCTATCAGCATGTAGCTCATTACTGAAGCCAGTATTCCCATGCAAATGCAGCCTAGTAAAGTTTTCACTTCACTTAAAACTACACATTTGAAAATTAAGGGAGTTTAATATTGTGGTGGGGTGTTTTCTGTGGCTTGAGTTCAGGAGAGGGGTGGTGGAGTGGGTTCAGGGGTCAGTGCCAGGGGAGGCTGATTAACCTGGAGTGGAGGTGGAGTCAGAGTGACAACGTCACCTGTGCATGTTGGCTTAGTGTCAAATAAAGTGAAAACTGCATCAGAAGCACAAGCAGTGTGCGGCATGTCGGGACTACGACTAAACAGAGTATGATGCCCAAGTTCCCGACATGCTGTGTACCCATGACCCGTGCAGCCATGGAGATGCTGGCTCAAATGGTAGCTGAGCAAGCAGGACAGGTGCTCTACACCATCGGCCCTCCGACGCCCTCCCCCAGTCCAAGAGCGACGTACAGGGCTGCAGTAAGGTGCTAACGGAGTACACAATGGGCTACGGTGGATTCGAGCTGCAAGCAGACCCTGGTTCACCAAACCTTGTGTTGACCGGGGGCATTGTTGGAAGCAGAGTGGGTGGAAATTAAGAGTGTGGATATCCCTTAATATCCCATAGTGCTGGTGAATTAAATGCACAGACTTAAGGCTGTGGTTAGCTCCAGACTTTCACACCCCTTAATGCTGGGACCAGATTTGACTGAATTTAGAAAGCTAATGGGTGTCTGTAGGGGGAACATGTCAGTTTAATTCAATGGAATTGTATTTATATAGTGCCAAATCACAACAACTGTTGCCTCAAGGCACAGCATGCGGACTCCAGCGAGATGGAAACAACGGGGCCTTCACTGGAGAACCCGCCGGTTCCAGGGATTCGCTCCATGGAATATTTTCCACCAGAGCATTCTCATAAAGATACTACACTCAGCTTTGAACGAGTGATGAATGGTTTTCTCTGGGTGCCACTTTAGCTCACTGGGATAAGCATGCGGCCATATGCCATACAGCTGAAAGCAGCTGGCCCTGATTCTGACCCGTGGCCTTTTGCTACATAACTTCCCCTCTGTCTGCTTTCAATAGATACATTAACTGTATCTATTGAATAAAGCCAAAAAAGTCGTCTGCCTAGTGCATCATCCACCGAATGTCTTCTGGTGAACCAGCCTGATAAATCTGTTAAGACCAGCGTCTACCACCCTGAGACTGACAAGCTGGTGGAGTCGCTGAACAAGACAAGTCAATGAAGTCAAGACAAGGATGAGAATAACTGGTAT